GGAGTCGGGGGAGGTGCTCTGGGAGCGGGCGCTTCCGTCGGCGCCCATGGGCATGTACACGGTGCGAGAGGGCAGGTGGTTGCACATGGAAGCGCCGGAGCCACAGTACGGGGCGCACGGGGGACAAGGGGAAGGAAGGGTGGTGGAGGGGCCAGGGTCGGCGTTGGGAGGGAGGCGTTTGGGTCGAGGCGAGGGAGGGGTGGTAGGGTTTGTCGGGGGGGCCCTCGGGGGGAAAGGAGGGGTCCGAGCAGGCGCGAGGGTGGGGGGGGACAAGTCGCGGGGCCGTTGGGGCCGGGGGGGCCGATAGCCACGGCAAGGGCAATGCGCAAATATGGAATGGCGTTGTCAATGGGGAGGGTGGATGCGGAGGGGGGGGAGGGGATGGGGGTAGGGAGGAGAGCCAGCAGCAGCAGCAGCAGCAGCACGTACTTTTTGCGGCGCTTGCTAGACTTCACCCCATTTGCCCGCTTGTCGTCGACGTCATGGTCCGGTAGGCAGCGGGAGAGGGAAAGTGGAGCGGTGGTCAGTCCGGGAGATCTTGGGGGCGCCACGGGTCGTGGTGGGGTGCCCCCGGGGAGTGGCCCCGGCAGTGGGTTTCGGACTTGCAACGAATGGGAACGCCTCCATGGACAACGTCCGTTGGCGTTGCTGCTGCCCCCGGGGGAGGATAAAGCGCCGCGCGCCGAGGGCGGTAATGTGTACGAGGCGATGGTGAGTACATCCCCCACGACCCCCCTGCTCCTGACCTACATGGGCGCGTCGACCGAGTCATCGGAAGGGGAGGAGAATGGGATGTGCGATGCTTACCGGCTGAGCACCAGCCAGGAAGGTGTTGAAGGCGTCGACGGCGGGGACGCAAGCTTCCACGTGGAATTGGAGGGGTCTTTTGCTCTGCTTGTCATGGTTGTGGTGGCGCTTGGCATGGTCCTGGCGGCCGTGGCCGTCGCGATGGCGCGGTGGAGGTCATGGCGAAGGGCGTGGACGGCGTGGCTGGGGGGTGAAAGGCCCGAGGAGGGGGCTTACGCAGGACAAGGGGAAGCAGGGGCCGTGGGACTCGATCTTCAAGAGAAGACCTGGCACGCACATGCGCAGCCTGGCGTGGATTGTGATGGCTCCGAGGCGAGGCAAAGTACGAGTCCGACTCCCCGGACTCCTTCCCAGCTATCTCCAGCCTCGGAGAGCAAGTCGATGGAGGGCCAGCCACTGCAGCGGCTTCAAGCTATGCACCGTGGCGTTGGCCTTCGGTCGTCTTGGTCCTTTGATACGGCCTCGGAAATCGTCCCCCATGCCACTCCACGATCGAGATCGAGTCGAGACGCGCGGGCCTCTTCTACCGCTCCGGTTCTCGTCCCGCCGCAGAGTCAGATCAACAGTGGAGCACAGCTGCTGACAGGCACGACAGGTCCTGCAACCACAGCAACGGGTGTTATCAATAAAATGAATACAAAAAGGGAACAGCGTCAGCTCAAACACGCCGTGCCCTTGGGATCTCAAACCGCGCCAAAGCCAACGCCAGGACTGGACGTGCAGGCTCAAAATCTATCCACGGCCGTCCTCTCCGACGCGGAGGGAAATCCGATGCTCTACCTTTCCAATCAACGTTACCGAAACGAATTCAACGAAGCTTGCACATTGGGAAAAGGCGGCTTTGGGACCGTGTTTCGATCGACCAATAAGTTGGACGGTCACGACTATGCGATCAAGAAGATTCGCCTGTCGTCGGCAGCACGTTGGAGTCAGCAATTGGAGAAAGTGTTGCGAGAGGTAAAAATTCTTGCCCTTCTAGATCATCCCAATATTATCAGATATTATCAAGCTTGGTTGGAAAGGTTGGCACCCGAAGACTTGCTCGCAGCGGCTGTAGGCAACGCTGCAGCGCTTGTTTCTTCGGGCCTTTCGCATAAGGGGGAAGATATGGGGACTACGTGGCATGGAGACAATGGGGAGGGATTTTCTTCCACGTTTTCCGGCTCGGAAGCCGAAAGCATGCTCAGCCGGGGGGGCGGGGGATTGAGCGCTCTGTGGTCGAGGAAAAGAGGGAGAGGGACTCGACCGAAAGCCTTGTCTTTACACGGAGACGATGGAGACGATGGAGACGATGGAGTTGACCGGGGGGACTTGGAGAACTTGGTCAGTGGCGGAAGCGGAGGGGGCTATGGCGAGGGTAGTGAAGACGGGGTCGGCCTGGTTGAGCCAGAGAAAGGGATGAAGGTACCTTATTCGTCATCAGCGCGCAAAGCTTTGAACGGCACGAGGCGTCATGATCTTACCCCGCCATGCGCACCAAACGGGCAGGAAGGAGAAGAGCGGGACGGTGGGGAAGCTGACAGTCATAATGATAGGGGCTGTGAGTTAGAGACAAAAACAAGAGGGAGAGTGCATGCTAGCGGGCTGCCGCTATCGAGGCGCACGGCGTCAATGGAGTCTTTCGCCCGGCGGACAGCGCTTCAACAACATCAGGGAGGAAAAGGAAGGGGAGAACAAGGAAGGCGGGAAAGCGTTGAGATGAGCGAGCACAGTCGCATTTCCGATTGGTCGGAGGAAGAGGAGGAGGACGTGTCGGGCTACAGTGAAAGCGACACGAAGCGGGAGGATGCAGAGCAAAGTAATGGCTTGGTCATATGGGCGAGGTCCCCGGATGTCTCGGTCGACTCGGGGGAGGGAGGAGCGGCCTCTGCCCACAGCATGTCCTCCACGTCCGGTGGAAGGGTGCGTTGTGAGGGTGGGAGCAGCAGCAGTCACGGAAAGGGCGAGAGCAGTCGCCCGACAGGGGAAAGGCTTCCTTCACGCAGGAAAAGCAATGCACCTAGTCCCACCTCCAAGCGAGGCTGGCAGTACTCCAGCGTATCCTTAGACAATCAGACAGGGAACGACGGCGTTGCAAAGAGGAAAACACTCACATATACCCGAGGCAAAGCTCGCCGGCGTCGTGAGCCGGTCGTGTTCGACCTGTGTCTGTACATTCAGATGCAATACTGCTCCAACCGCACCCTCAAAGACTTCCTTGATGCGCCCTCACGCGCTCACAGGGTTGACAAGGCGGAAGCCCTCCAGCTTGCATTGCAGATTGCCCGTGGCGTCACGTACGTCCATGCACGCGGGCTGATCCATCGGGACTTGAAGCCGACGAATTGCTTCCTGGTGGGCGAGAAGGGCCACACGGTGAAAATCGGGGACTTTGGTCTCTCACGCCATGTAGGGGCGGTGGAAGGGGTGGATGGACGCAATGGCGCCGGCACACCACCCTCTCCGGCGGGGGCGAGGAAGGGGAACGAGGGAAAGAGCTGGACAGATGGGGTTGAGGACGGCGAGGAATTCGGGAACACGGCGGGGGTGGGAACACCTGTGTACGGAAGCCCAGAGCAGCTGAGTGGCGGCGATTACGACGAGAAAACGGACGTGTTTTCGTTGGGCGTGATGCTTTTCGAGCTCTTTCACCCGGCTTTTGGCACGGGGATGGAGCGAATGCTGACGATGCGGAAGATCCACGAGGGGAAGATGCCACCCGCCTGGTCCGACGAGAACGGGGAGATGGTGGAGATGCTCGGGCGGATGCTGAATCGTCTCCCCGCCCGCCGACCTCGGGCCGCAGAGGTGGTGTCGAAGCTGGAGTTCCTACAGGGCAAACCGTTAGTCCTCCCCTTGGACTTCGATCAGTTTCCTAGGGACGCGGTGCTTCTGCGGGCGGAGACGGGGGAAAGGGACGGTATGCTTCAGGAGGTGATCAATGGGATCAAGGCTCAGGGATCCGCAGGGGTCATGAAGCAGTACGGCTTCCGAAGCAGCAGTGACGGGCGCGCGATCATCGAGGTGTTGCTGGACGGATCGGGGGAGGGGAAGGGGGAAGAAATCGACAGGATTGTCAAGCATTTGAGAGGAGTGGAGGACATGATCTCGTGCAACCTGGTTGGTGTGGGCCCCAATCCTGCGTCCTTCTCCACCTTTATCCCACCTCCCTCGCCGCTGTCCACTTCCCTTGACTCCTCAACGACGGCGCTGCCAGTCTCCGGAACAGAGGAAAGAGGAGAGTGATGAGTGCGCAGCCCCTGTGAGGAAGAAGAGGGGGTCCCAGGTGACTGATCACGTGGGGGGGGGGTTGTATGTATAAAGATTTGCATAATGACATCGAGATGACTAGCTAAAAATTGACGCCGAAGCGTTGCAAAAATAGCAAAGCAGCGAGAGGTACATCTGAGTACGCAAAAAAGGTAAACGCAGTGTACAGAAACCGAGGAAAATGTTTTTAAATGTCCTCCAGGGAGGCCATTCTTGCCCTTAGGGCGCCACCTATCGAAGAAATACTTGTCCAGCTTAGAAGTCTCCCCTTCCTGTTGTCTTGGCGTACATAGCACCTTCTTCTTTTCCTTAAGATGAAGATCTCCTCTCTGCGCGTCTCCGCGGAGGAGTAGGACTCTTGCGGGCCCCCCGCCGAGGCCTTTCCCGGCTCCGAGATCTGTCAGAACCTCTCTCGCCTCGACCGCTCCTAGACGGTTCCCAGACTCTGTCGCTGCTCCGATCGCGACCTCTCTCTCTTCGCGGGGAGCCATAGTGCCTGTCACGATGCTCAGCCCGATGCCTGTGGCTCCTCTCCCTCTCCCTCCCTCTAACCCGCTCTCTGCTCCGGCTGGCACTGCGCACCTCGCGCCAGCCCGCACGGTCTCTCCCGCATCGACCATCCACCTCTTCCTCACGCCCCCCCCGCCTCCGTTCTCTCCTCTCCGCGCTTGAGCTGCCACTCCGTGAGTGACGGCGGCCACCTCCCTCCCTCCCCCGGCGCCTCTCATCCTCCCCGCTTTTTGACTCCCGTGCGCGCTGCTGAAGCCTTGCCGAGGCGGTGGCCGCAGCGTCGGTCATGGAAGGCGAATCTGTGGAAGAGAGAGGGTCGGAAGACATGGCCAGAGAAGCATTTCGCGGGGACCCTCTCTCAGAGGCCCGAGACCGGCTGCCCGTGTTTCCCACCCTTGCCTCCCTCGGACCCACCCCCCCGGACGGCCCATGTTCCTCGTCCTTCTTCCGCCGCCTCACCCTAACCTCCAAGCCCCCCATCAGGTCCCGGTCGAGCTTTAGGGCCGACACGACCGCTGCCTCTGTCCCGAACATAACAATGGCGAAACCCCGGGGCTCTTGGCTCGTCCGGTGCCGGGGCACCGCCACCGACAGGACGGTGCCGCAGTCGGCCACGAAGTCCCGCACCATTTCCTCGGTCACATCTTTGGGTAAATTGTTCATGAAGACACCCAGTTCCGGGCGTGCCGCCGCCAGCTTCAAGGGGTCCTCCAACACCTCGTACAAGGCCAGGCTGCGTTTGGCGGCCGCGGCCAGGTCGAACGTGAAGGTGTACCGCCGAGAGGAAGTGCCCAACGCGACCTCCGAGACCCCAGAGTGGAGGGCCGCTCCTTTGAAAGGCTCCAGGCGACGCTCATCGAGAAAGCTCCCGTTAGCCGCTTCCAGGTCCACGAGCAAGGGACCGTACGGCTGGGAGACGACCACCATGGCGTGGAAACGGCTCGTGCTCGGGTGCGCGACAGGAACATCGTTTTCCGCAAGCTTCCCAAAAGTGACGATGGCTTTACGCTCCAGCGTTAAATCTGCTTCGGGCAGAGGGTGCCCCTCCCGTGTCACGCTCACGTCAAGGCGCACCTTGGAGTCGGACGTGGCGTTGAAGACCTGCTTGGCCCACAGCAATATACCCAGAAGCCCCTCTTTCTCATCCGCGCGCACTCGCTCGAGGAGCTGCCCCAGGTGATTGTGGCCCTTGCCCTTGCATGTTCCCCAGAACTGGTCGTTGTGCTCGTTCTCGTACACGAGCTGCTTGGTACCCGTGTTCATCAACTGCTGCCGAAGCCCCTTGTGCCTGCGGAACTTGTCGCGCAGCAAGGCTTCCATGACCACCAAGGACTTAAGCTTCCACGCCTGCTTGTCCACGTTCGGTGCCTTTGCGCCGCGACGCTTCGCTTCCAGGGCGTCTTTGGAGGACAGGATCGATTGCCGGTACGTAGGGTCCGAGCTCTTTGACGCTTGAAGCGCATGCTCGACGGTCGGGTAAGCCTGAAAACCCTCCCCTTCCATCACGCCTTCTCCTGGAAGTACAACACGAGATTTCGAAAGCGTGCTTAGAAAGTCGTACTCTCCTGTGAAAGCCGTGATACGCGACTCCACCAGGCGCCTGGCGGTCGCGGCTGAATCGTCCAGCACCCTTACGGAAGCTTTCTTATCGGGGTCAAAAACCCGGCGGTCCACGGCACTGGCCATCGCCAGCCGTCTCAGATCAGGTAATGCTGTGGCAAAGTACTCGTCGTGGGCCAGGTGGTCGTTCGACGCTTGGAATGAAAACGAGAAGGAAGAAAGCCTGCTGGGAGACTTGCTACGTGTTCATGTCCCGTCCTGTGTTGCAACTTGAAGAGCAGCACGCCAGTTTACGAAGGATAAAAGTTATTGTTATGTTGTGCCGATGGATTTGAAAACAGGACGTGACTTAAGCCATTTCTTCTGCCAGCAGGTTTGTCGTACGAATGCTTTTTTCCGACTTGGCGAGACCGGTCGCAGCACGATGGAATCGCTAAAGCCAATCCTCTTACCATTACCGCGCCCGTCTTTTGGAAGCATGCACATATTCATTTACGCATCCAACTGCGATACAGGCGCCCCTCCTTTTCCGCTTTAGTCCGGCTGGAATTTGTTGGCGGCAGAAACGCCGAGGGGCGGGTCCTGATTGCTAGCCTGCTTATTGAACCGGTACATCGTCCAAAAATCAAGGCCTTCAACTATCCGTCGTTCATAGTACAACTCCATCGTCAGCATGCCTGCCGCACAAACGACACAGCTGATTGTGGCTTTCGTGTTTCTTCAAGTAGTCGACGCCTTTGTCCTTCCCCCCCTACCTTCGTGTACGACCTCGACTGCATGTGTCTCTTTTCCCCGAAACTCTTTGTGGAGGAGCGCGATGACAACCAGACGCTTCGTCGCCTTCCAAGACAGTAAACGGACGCATGAGAGCAGTGAAGCTCTAGCTGTCAAGGAGAATGAAGAGGAAGAGGAACTGTTAGAATTAGAAGGCAAATACTACCAGTGGAAGCACGGGCCCGTACACTACGTGGAGGCAGGCACCGAAGCGGCTACTGCTGATACGGCCGCCATTTTGCTCTTGCCAGGTAAGATGGTGTTCAGCTGCAAATATCTCGCCTGCACCTTGTCGGTACACGACAGGGAATAGGAGGAATCACTGGCAGGCCTACATGCACTCTGAAGGCCGTGCATTCCCTTAGTTGCACCTCTCCCTGTCCTCCTTCTCGCAGGGTTCGGTGTGTCCTCCAGCCACTACGAGCGGAACATCGGTCCTCTGGCTGCATCAGGCTATCATGTCTTCGCCATAGACTACCTGGGGCAGGGCAAAAGCTGGCCGGACAAGGACCCCGAGAAGGAGGACCAGCTGGTCTTGTCGATCGACACGTGGAGCGAGCAAATCATCTCCTTCATCCGCGACGTGATCGGGAGGCCTGTCTACATATCTGGAAACTCATTAGGGGGATTCCTGGCCACGACTGTGGCGGCCCGGCACCACGAGTGGATCCGGGGCGTCGTGCTGCTGAACAGCACGCCCTTCTGGTCCTTTGCGCCCAACCGGAAGAAGATGCACCCCTGGGTGAAAGAGGTAAGCGGTTGTAGGGGTCGATTCGGTCGAAAAAAGGGGCAGCCCGGGTTTTGCATGCTCGTGCAGGCAGGGGGTCCTGTGCGCCAAGATATTTCCCTGACATTCCTCCAAAACCCGGCCAGGCCATCATCCCCTACGACGGCGTCCTCCCAGCCCCGCGACCCCTCTACGAGATCGGCTCCCGCTGGTACAACTCTTTGAGGAACAAAGAGACCGTCAAGGCCATGCTGGGCGCCGTGTATGCGGATGAGAAAGCCTGGGGCGACCGGCTGGTGGAGCAGATTCTGGTCCCGACGGAGCACAAGCACGGCCAGAGCGTCTTCACCTCCATCCTCTTCGCACCCAAACCCGAGCACACTTTCGAGGAGACGCTCGCCCAGCTCCAGCAAAAGAATATCCCGCTCCTGCTCTTGTACGGGAAAGAGGACCCGTGGATTTTCCCCTCTTGGGGCCAACGTGTCAAGCGTCAAGTCTCGCTGGCCACCTACTACGAACTCAGCCCTGCCGGACATTGTCCTCACCACGAGACCCCCGTGGCAGTGAACGCCTTGATACTGGAGTGGTTGCAGAAGCAGAACGGAGGGGCGGGTGGAGGAGAAGATGGGGGGATCGGTCGAGGCAGCAAGGCGATGGGAAGCGGGGTGGAGGGAAAGGAAAGGGGGGAGGGCCCACGTGGAGACAGAGGAAGCACTAGAACGTATTTTGAGCCAGTCACTGGGAAGCAAGTCACGGCTACCCTGATGGATGGTCGCCCCCGGGACACGATTGAGTGGTTGCTGGCAAACACTGTGTTTCGGTGACCCGCGATGGGTCGGAGGGCGGCAGCGGGCCCGGCGCCTGGCATTCACTGTCGCTGCTCCTGCTTCTCAATGTACAATGATCGATGGAATTGCGTACAAACAGTACGACTTGAAAACACTTTAATCAAGAAACATATCGCGACTGGTAATCAGACATAGTTGATGGTCAACAGGTATTCCTTTTCGGAGCGGTCGGTTCCAATCGAAGGCTTTATCTCGCTCTCTTGTCTTCTTTAGAGTGGCAACATATCCCTGGATCTCCCCATATGCACAAATCAGCAGGGCTATGGTAACTTCTGCTTTGCCTTCACACCTTTCTCTCCTACCCAATAGAATTTGAACACCCTCCTTAAGGTCACAGCTGTGCCACCATCTTTCCCCCCTCCACCGCCGCAGAGGCCCCTTCCACCCCCCCTTTCCCAACGCTTTTTGGTAAAGATCGCTGGACCGACTGCACGGGCAGCTTTTTTAAGAACTTAAGGGAATGCACTGACCACGACAAAAGGGAGAGGAGGACCAGAGACCCCGCCTGGTGTGCGGCCGCTAGGGGCACGGGGACGTACATCAAGAGCGTCGAGATCCCCAGCGCCACCTGCGCCCCCGCCATCCCCACCGTGGCGGTCAGGGCCGTCCTCGTCTCAGCAGGCAGCACCCTCCATACCTGCCCCCGTCGGGCCGCGAGAAATGTGGCTGAGATCAAGCCCGCCGTGGAGAGCGCGAGAACGCGATGGTCGAGCTGCACCAAGGCCGTGTTCTCGAAGAAATTCCGCCACTTGGGCTCCATCTCCCACACCTCTGGAGGGATCCAAAAATCCTCGCCCATCTTGGGAAAGGTGTTGTAGGCCCTTCCCGCGTCGTTGCCGGCCACAAAGGCCCCGGAGAGGATGGTAACGCCCAGAAGACCAGCGGACGCAATCCCCAAATGGCGGACACGCAGGACCCGAGTGAGCAGTTCCTGGGATGCCTGTGGGCCCCCAGTGCGTGCGGCCACGGCAAGCTGTGTTTTGAGGGCCGTAGCGGCTCGCACGGCGTGCTCTGGAGGGTGGAAGAGGTCCATCCCTGTCCAGATTAAGAGGGAGAAGGTGGTAAATGCCATGCCGAGATGGGCCGTTAGTCTGTAGGGGCTGACTCGGATCTCCTTCCGTTGTTGCGGGTCCATTTCCAAGCCGCTCTTCACCATCCACCAGCCGATCAGACCCTGCCCCCCGCCCAGGGCGAAGAGCGTGGCGAGTCGTGGGTAGAGGCTGCGTGGAATGCGGCCCCTGACCGCGAAATAGGCAAATGGCAGGCCGTACGCCAGGCCAATAAACCGGCCCATCATCCGGTGGCCCCACTCCCAATAAAATATGAACTTGAACTCGTCCAGAGTCATGCTCTGTCGTTGCTGATACTCGGGGAACTGCTTGTAGCGGGCGAATTCCGCCTGCCACTCCGTCTCGTTTAGTGGAGGGAGGGAGCCCTGCACCCTCCAGTCGGTCATGGAGAGGCCAGACTTAGTCAGGCGCGTTATACCGCCCACTGTGACCATGCCAGCCACCAAAGCGCCGGTGCCTAGAAGCCAGTAGGCCAAAGGTCGTAGAGAAGTACTTGAGGAGGATGACACTGTGGCGGAGGACGAGGCCAGAGGCGACGCGTCCGCAAATGTGGTGGAGGCCAGACGCCTGCGAGGCTGTAAGGTACATACCAGCGCGTGTCAGTGGGAAGGAATTTGCGACATGAATCACGGGGTGCGCTGGCGGTGCAGAGAGGCTGCAACTACGAGATCCACGTGTGGGACTTCTCAGATTGAGACACTTCACAAGAGATGAAAGGGCTGACAGGAGCACAAAAAAAGACATATCTATAGAGTACTCGAGAACGTATTTTGTCAATGTGATCCTCGGATTGCAAGCGTGCAATCAAGCTGCTGAATTGCTCAGATACCACCCAACCCTACGTGTTTACCTGTAGCACGGGCGACCGAGACAAAAAACCAGCTAAGGGGCCCCGCCGGATTGCGGCAGGTGCAATCATACCTCTGACACGTAGCATGGTCCTGGTAGCGAACAATGTGGAGGAGCATCGGTGAGAGAAAGGAGTACTGAGGTGGCGTTTGGGGGGGAGAGGCAGCTGAGGAAGTGCTCACCCGGCGAGGGCCTGAGGTCGCTAAAAAGGTAAAGCAGCCTGATTCCATCTCGGACGTGTCACACATCCCTCTTGTCCTCCACAGGGTTGCACTCCATCCAGACGTGGTAACAAGGTGATTATGGCGGTAACTGCATTTATGTCGCCTTCTTCACACTTGATCAGACCATTGAAAGAAAACATTCCTTCTCCCAAGGCCGACGCCGGAGCTGCCCCGGCCCTTGTCACAATCCACGGCGACGACGGTTGCAGCTTATGCATCGAATGCGGCAAGCCCGTCACAGAGGGCCTTTACAGGGAATATTCGAAGGATAATATCCGTCTATCGAGATGTGTAAGTGCATGATCGCATCCTGAAACCCAACCACCCGCTTTTTGCATGTAGCTAGAGCACGCATACTCTCCAACGCGAAGCCTTACTCTATCCTTATCAAAACAATTCGCCTACGGGAACTTTACTGTCCTTCCAGGAATTTTGTGGCGCAGTTGCAGACCGACTGATCGAGTATGAGCTCGTGCTCGTCGGACTGGATTTAGCCCTCCACAGGTTGCCTGCGTGGCGGCATATTCTCTTCAATCGACAGCCGCACGCCAAACTAGAATTTGCACAGGTGCGACCTTGAAGGATTAGATTATTCAGTATCTGACAAGTCAACAGATTGTGAAGAGTGTAATTATTCAAACTCTCTCACGGCTGCGATGGCCTGTTGATACTTGTCAACTTGCCAGAGGTGACTT